TAAAAACAAAGATATTCTGAAATTTATGTATCTAACCAAACCATAAATACATCTCTAAGAAGAGATACAATTTTCAAAATATCCATTCTTAATATTTCTATACAAAAAGACTTTTCTATAGATACTGGTATCCTAGAAGGAATTATTTTGTTAATGAAACTAAAAAAATATTTATTAAATTTATTTATCACCTATCTCACTGTCAAAGGATCTCTGATATAAAAGCCTTTCTCTTTCCAACAAGCTAAACAAGAACGGAAAAGTAATAGATCGTTCATTTATCAAAAAAAGCCACCACAGGACATTTTTTGTTTTGGTTTGAAGTGTTCCATGAATTCAACTATTCTTACTGTTGAGCAAACAAAGCTCAATGAATAATGCTTATCTTAAAATATACAGGTGTTTGAAATCCTTGACCTACCTCAGGATCTTCTAATCTAGCCCTTGGAGTAATGTATACAGGTATTCTAATTAGTAACCACCGATAGTTATTGTCATGAATTTATCTAAGCCCTTTTAAAAATTATTTTATTTATTTATTTATTTGATTTGATTTGTCAATCGCTTACAAAATAATAGGTATAACTATAAACATGAGTAAGAATACAGGAAATAGGTACAAATAATTGAGAACAATAGGACAGGGACGGTAGGCACGATTGTGCTCTTTACAGACCTTTTAGGAATGGGGTGTGATCAATAGTGGATAGTTTAAGGCAAGGGTGTCCAACCTTTCACCTTCCCTGGGCCACATTAGAAGATGAAAATTTGGTTTGGGCCACACATAAAATAAAATAACAGTAACCATACCTGATCATCCAAAAAAACCATAGAAAACATGGTTAACATATTAAATTTATTTGGAAATGAAGTTAGTGAGATGTTTTTATTATTTATTATTAATTATTTATTAAAAATTATTATTTTTTTATCACAGTTTTTTTATCACAGTTTAATTTCCGGCCAAATTTTGCGGGGGGGGGGAGAAAGCTCGCCCGCCTCACGCCTACCTCTCCTCCTGCAAATGGCCCGGCTGGATGAGGCAGGACTGGAAGGCAGAAGCAGCAGCAGCGGTGGGGGCAGAAGCCTTCCCTCGCTATCGCTGCTGCTTTTGCCCCCGCCGCCGCTGCCCCCACCGCCGCTTCTGCCCCCGCAGCGGGGGCAGCGGCGACAGGGGCAGAAGCAGCAGCAGTGGCGGGGGAAGAAGCAGCGGCGGTGGCAGGGGAAGAAGCAGCGGAGGTGGTGGGGGTGGCGGCGGGGGCAGAAGCGGTGGTGGCGGCGGCAGCAGCAACAGCAGGAGGTGGCGCTCTGATGGCACCCGCCTTTTCTCTTGCTGCTTGGCCTGGCGCTCGCCTCACCCCGCCTCGCGCCTGCCTCTCCTCCTCCTCCTCGCTGGCTCTGGCACGAAGGTTGGGGTGGGCACTGGGCCACATTACGAGGCGACCTGGGCCGCATGCGGCCCGCGGGCCGCGGGTTGGACAAGCCTGGTTTAAGGTTAAAGGAATGAGGATTTGAGGATGTAACAACAGAGTCAGGTAGTGCATTCCAGGCACTGACCACTCTGTTGTTGAAGTCGTACTTTCTGCAATCAAGTTTAGAGTGGTTTACATTGAGTTTGTATCTGTTTTGTGCTCTTGCACTGTTGCGGTTGAAGCTGATTATTATTGGCTAGTGGTCATCACTACAGGAGAGGATGCTGCTGCTTCTTTTATCCTTCATCTGAATTTCCTTGGATCATTTGGGTGACTACGGCTAGAGAAAAAAAATCCTGCACTGAGCAGCACATTTATTCTGTATACAGGTAGTTGTCGGTTTACAATGGTTCGTTTAGTGATGATTCAAAGTTACAACAGCACTGAAAAATGTGACTTATGACCGTTTTACATAGTTACAACCTTTGTGGCATCCTCATGATCATGTGATCAAAATTCAGGTGCTGGGCAACTGGTTCATATTTATAACCTTTGCTGTGTCCCAGGGTCATAGGGTCCCCTTTTTGCAACCTTCTGACACATAAAGTCAATGGGGAAGCCACATTCACTTAATAACCCTGTTAGTAACTTATCAACTGCAGTGATTCACTTAACAACTGTGGCAAGAAAAGTCATAAAATGGGAGCACTTAACAAATGTGTCACTTAACAACAGAAATTTTGGGCTCAATTGTGGTTGTAAGTCGAGGACTACCTGTCTATGCTATAGGTATATACTTTCTGAAGCAGAAATAATTAGTTATAAATGACCTTGAGTTTTGGCTTTCTCTGTGGTTAGGGATAAACATGGGGATTTGCAAGTTACAAGGTTCCTTCCGGGAGTAAGATATATACATGCAAACTAATGGTTTACAAGTTTAATGAATTATTTATTCCTTTATTATTATTATTACAGGATAGCCTCTGGGCAATTTAAAACAAAGTAATGGTACAAAAAGGATGCTGTACAATATAAAATACACAAAATGTATCATCTGTTTGAACAACACACTGTCTTTCTGTCTATATGAAACTGTATCAAATCTACTGTCAACATTAACACCCACACAGAGATTGTTTTTCAAATGCCTCGGGCAAAACCTCATAATTGCACTAACTGCTTCTAGATTCCTGCCTTTAATCAGCAATTTGTTCATGCACACAACTATATATAGAATAAATAGCAATGCAATTATTTAATCTTTTTATAAAATTTTTAAAAATCCAATTACTGCTCAGTTTCTTTACTACATAATCAGAATGATTAGATACAATTGTGCAATATTTTTATATATTTTTCAATATCAGGGTATAGATTCTAATTTGGCTGGGGATTTATTTAAATAGTAATTGAGAGCCCAGAAACTGAAGTAGGATAGACGGAACTATTCAGATATTTTGATTGTTATAAATTTAGGTGTTTTAGAAATGAAAGTGGTGGGCAGACATGATCTCAGTCTCAGTATCTGTTGGGCTGTCACACAGAACAAAAGGTGGACTTATTCCCTATAATTCAGTCTACTATGAAAGAGATTCAGGCTACACATCAGGAAGAAGTTCCTGACTATAAGAGCTGCCAGCCAGCGGAACAGGCTGCCATCTGGAATGTTAAATTCGCCGATGCTGGAGATCCTCAAGTATGTAACTGGACAGAGATGATCTAATGGATCCTTCACCTAGTAAGAACTGAACAATATGACCTCTAATGTTTCTTCTGACTTTATAATTCTCTTACAACACTTTGGCTTATTTTTTAAATATAATTACTCCAGCAAAAGATCTCTATGGTATTAATAAATGTATTAGTAGATACTGTACTACAGCTAAATCTAACTAAAGTTTAAATAAACGGATATTACAAGCAACCCTCCATTTAATGTAATGAAGCTTAATTTACAAAAATTACAATCCTCCATTTAATCCAATGAAGCAATATACAAAATCATGCTCACAAGACTTGGCTTTATATAAATACCAGTGCTGTCACCCTAGAAAATGAATTGTGTATCTGTGAGTGTGTACATGTGTGCTTTAATCACCAATATAAAAGTAAACTCAGTCTACCAGATGAATTGTGGATTCTATTTCTCTTTTGTTAGGTGTTGTTACAGGGAAGTAGCTAAACCCCATGAGAAACCCCCTGTTTTTAGGTTAATGGAATGTAGGTTTTGCAAACCTGCCATTTCATACTACCTTGTTTTAAACGGATCCCTGCTTACAACTAGGTGGTACAAAATTTCAGGTTTACGAAAGTTCTATTTCATTTACCTAAAAGCAAAGTATCACTACACATTGTCTAATGCAAAAACAACAGACTTGCTTGCTTGCTTGAGACTTAAGCTACTGCTTGGCTCTAAATACACACATTAGTCAAGATTTTGTGAATAGCCTTAAAAGAATCCTTTCCGACAAACTCTTGGATTTCTCCCTTCCCATAAGAATTTCCCTGCCTCAAAAAGCAGGGGAGAGGTGGGCCCTTTTCATCATTGGTAAATAAACAGATTGTAAAACCTATTGTAAAAGCTAGCCTCCAGCTGGAAATCTGACATGGGCCTGATCAACCACTTCTGTCCAGTTTCCACAAGTAAACTGGCTCAAGGACGGTAAATGCAGCTTTGTGTTCTAGCAACCAAGCTGATGAGTAATACTGCATGGACAGAAAAGAGAGGTTACGCGCACACCCTAGTCACAACCTGGAGATCTCCAAGAGTGGTGACTACAGTTTCCATATCTGCAGCCAGCATGGCCAGTGCTTGATTAACTATTACTAGCTTTGGGCTACAAACTCCAGATGACAGACAGCAAGAGCCTACAAACATCCTGCAGTCTGACATTTTGTAGTCCAGATCTGGCAGCCAGCCCTAGGCTTCACTGTTTTTTCCCAGAAAATCCCAAAAAAGTTTCGAAGAGAATAAAAAAAAAGTTTGCTAAAATGCCCGAAAGCATAAAAGAAAATTCATTTGAAATAGTAAAATAGTTTTTCTTAAAAAAAGCAAAAAAAAGCAGTAAAGTAAAATAAATAAACTAAACTACAGTAAACTAAACCAAACTAAACGGCAATTTGGCCACGTGGTCCAATAAAGGCTTGGGTAAATAGAGCTGTTTTCAAACAGCCAGAAACTGTAATCCCGACATCTGGGAGATATCAAATACACGAAGGCTTTCAGCTTAAAATGTTAACAAATCTCGCAGCATCCCTGTAATTTCCACCGACATTTAACCACCGGTTGTGCGAGAGATCGCGCCGCGTTTGTCGGTTCGCTTGGCGCAGGATGGCCGGATATCCAACTCTCGCCTTTGGCCCGGACTGTGAAACGGCCGCTTCCTCCTTCGCCCGCTTTTCTTTTCTTGTTTCTTTAACCCCTTTTGCTAACTGTTGCAATGGAGCGGCCCCGCGCAGCCCCGGAGAACTTGTGCCACGTCCCCGCGCGGGAGGAACGAGGGAGGATGCAGCAAACTCCAAGCAGACTGAAGCGAAAAAGTTGGGAGCCACCGCGAAAGAGAGAAGACCTTCCGCTGGTTGACTTACCGGGCTTCTTGCCCCACCATTCTGCCCACTGCACGGTGAGATCGCTGTCAGCTCGGATCCAGCGCACGACCTGCAGGATTAGGTAGGCTACGAAGCTCCACACCGCAATGCACGGAAGGCAAAGCTCCATGGCGCGTAGAGAAGGCGAGAGCGCGGCAGGAATTGAGACCAAGGGGAGCCCCTTCTTATAAACAGCAGGCTGGCTTTTTTTTTTCCTTTCCGCCCGCTGTCCCAAGCAGGGAGTGGCCGCTGGGTACAGACGAGCCCTTTGCCCGCGGTAGAATGACTTTTGCGGGGGTGGAGTTACTTCTCCCCGCCTCCCCTCATCATGTGGCCTTGACAGTCCCCACCGCTTGGTTTGCAAGAGGTTGCTCACAATTTCTGTTTTGCAAAGGGATTGAAGGGAGGGTAGCCGGCCTGGGCTCTGGGGGGGGGGGGGGGGGGGGGGGGGGCAGAGAGTGGTTTAGGGTGGGGCGTTTCTGGCAGTGGAGATGGGTTGCTTCCCTGCTCGAAATAGCAGCCTGGACGTCAGCCAGTCGCTAGATGTTCTTGTGAAAACGTGGGAATGAAAGCTGTCAAGGGAGAGGAATGAATCCCAGATGACAGGCTTTTGTGCCTATGGACAATGGTGAGCTGAGAAGGAGATACAGTAGCCAAATTGCAGAAGGAAAGAACGGAGTGGTTTGTTCCTGTGGCAGCTAAATTAAAAAAGGTGGAGGATGTGAGTATTAACTAAATATCACCCTATTCTCCTCTTTTGCCCTTAGCTCCTCCTTTAAATAGAATAGTTTCCATCACGTTATAAACCACCTGCTCTGAAAAGTGCTGTCTTCTGTAGATCAACTTCTATTACACGCATAGGAATTTTACATGAATAATTAGAGTTGTCAATTTTACTGCTACATTTGCCTTCTTACAATTCTTTTGCCCCGTTTCTTTTTTCTTTTTTCTCCTTTTCTTTTTTCTTTTCTTTCCTTTCCTTTTCTTTCTCAACTTCCCTCTTCTCCTGGCATTTGTTTGTTTTTTCCCACAGAAGAAAAAAAAATTGTCGTATTTCTATTTCTTTTGTCGATGTTTCCATTCCTTGCACTCCTTTTTTATCTTTCCTAAGGGTCAACATTCACAAAAGCATCTATTTATAAAGCAAACGATGTTGCAAAATTGTGTCGATCATGTAGGTGGTTCAACTTAGAACTATCATGGAACCGAATGGAAATTCCATGTTCCATTACAGTCATAAATCAAGGATTATTGAACTTGGGAATTACCTATCTAAATAACAAATATAACATTTGGGGGGGGGGGGGAATGGAATACAATGTTAAATATAACTTGGTTGATCATGAGAAGAGTTAAATTAAGTCAATACTGACTGGTATCCAAGAATTTCCCCCAGACATCACTGTAAAGAAAAATGAAACCCCTAAGCAGCTTGGAAGGAGGTAGTAAGTTCTGTAGTGTTGTTACTGGATTCAGTTGACTCAATTCTCAGTAGATACACGCTGTAAATTATGTTATTTTCTTCCCAGACCTGCGATTTGGAAGAAAATCACCTGCATAGGGTGATAAGTATAGGAAAAGTTGCTGAAAAGAAATTTATTTCCATCTATTGATTCTTGTTCTTTCCTTGGGAGCTTCAGAAGATCGTTCTACATTATGTTCCATGTTACAGCTCTTCAAATATCTGAAGATCACTATCATGTCTCCCCTCAGCCTTCTCTTTAGACTAAACATATCCAGTTCCTTTAATCATTCTTCATAGCCTGCAAGCTCCTCGCCATCTTTATTGCTTTCTCTGCAGTCCTTCCAGTTCCTTACTATCCTCCTTGTCCTGTAGTGATCAGAATTGGACACTGTATTCCAGAAATGGTCTGACCCATGCAGCATGAATCAGACTCATTTCGTATGATCTCAATATATTACCTCTGTTGATACAGTCCAAGACTACATGAGCTTTTTGGCAGCTACAGTACACAGTGCACAGCTGGGTTGTATATAGTCTTTGGCTTACTAGGATGCCCAGATTCTTTTCATAAATGCTCACAAGTATTACTGAACCAGGCACCACTTATACTTTTCCTACCTGTGCAAGAATACTCCATTTCTTGCAACTGGACCAGAGGTGGCATTCAGCAGGTTCTAACCTGTTCTGGAGAACCGGTAGTGGAAATTTTGAGTAGTTTGGAGAACCGGCAAGTATCACCTCTGACTGCCCCTGCCCCCATCTATTCTCTGCCTTCCGAGTCCCAGTTGATCGTCTGAGTCTTCTTTTGTTGCCCTGCACAGGAGAATGGAGCTGGAAAGCAGGTTAGTGGGGTGGGGAGGGAATGGGATTTTTATGTTATCTTCCCCTAGGAGTGGGGAGGGCATGGAGATTTTGCAGTATCCTTCCCCTGCCATGCCCACCAAGCCATGCCCACCAAGCCACACAGCGCCCACCAAGCCACATAATGCCCATCAAGCCACGCCCACAGAACTGGTAGTAAAAAAATTTGAATCCCACCACTGAACTGAACTGTAAGTTGTGGGGTAAGATTCAATGTTCAAGCCTATAAAGTTCTTTCAGACATTGAGACTGTCTTTGAAGGTGGCTTACTCCCACAGCTCCCACAGATGTTCATTAAGTTTGTAGACGAACTTAATGAACATCTCTTCTACCCCTTCTTCTAAGTTATTTATGATAATGTTGAATAGCATTAGCTCATGATAGAACACTCAATATTCCACTAGATACCTCCCTCTGTTTTTTCAGTTCCTGGCCTTATCATCCCATGGTGTTCGGCCAATGAGCCATGATGGCACAGTGGTTAGAATGCAGTATTGCAGGCTAATTCTGCTGACTGCCAGCAGTTTGATCCTTACTGGCTTAAGGTTGACTCAGCCTTCCATTCTTGGTAAAAGGAGGACCGACATTGTTGGGGTCAATATGCTGACTCTGTAAACCACTTAGAGAGGGCTGTAAAGCGCTATGAAGCGGTATATAGATCTTTTGCTATTGCTATAACAGACCAGTATCTGGTTCAGCCATGCTTAGTTCTTAAGCTTTCTTAAGAACATATGCAGTAACTGGATAGATAAGATCTTTGGCCGATCTAGTCCAGAAGTCTATTCTAATTCAACCAACTGCACAAGGAGGCCCACTAGTTTCTCAACAGGTAGCCTTCATAGGAGGTAACATCAACATCAAATTTAATAGCAACTGATTCCCTTGACTTGCATGTATTGGTCCAATCCTTTTTCTGAAGCCAGCCAAGCTGGTAGTTAGCACCCACTTCTGATTTTCTTGCTTCTCTGGGCTACAGGCTTTCCCTTGTGTCAAGTGTAATATTTTGCAAATAGGTCATGGCTTAGTTTGAAGATGGTGTGCTGAATACCTTGCTTGTCCTTCAACCTGCCTGTGAAACTATTATGAACTGTTTACACTGAGTTACTTTTTAAAGCAATTAACAAATGCAAAATATCCAAGGAACATACTTCACAACAAACTAAATGAATCAAAATTTGTATGAAAGAGCCAAAAATAAATAAACAACTCTCTTCTTCCAGTGGAGAAAAAAAGAGATGAGGCTAGGGTGTGACTTATAACCTTTAGAGTTATCACTCTAAAGAAGATTTTAATACTGCCAAGCATTTACTTGAAGAATTTAAATAGGACCTGAAATTAAGATGGAAATTATCTTTTATTGTATTTATTTATTATTAAATTTGCTTGCAGCCTGTCTTGCCATAAGTTTTAGTTCAACAAAAGAAGATTTAGCAGGTATGTCTGAAAATATTAATAAACAGTTTAAAGATTTATGAAACAGGGCTTTGGGGGGAAGTATGTCAAACTAAAAAGGCTTAACAAAACCAAAGTCAATAACTGTAGCTAAGACCAAGAAACTGGAACGTAGGCCAGTTCCTTGGAATCTCCCTGGATGAGAAGATGAGATGCTACAGATAGCTGCTCCTTGCAAGAGACCACAGGACTGTAGTTTTCTGTGGATTTGAGCACCAGAAGACAAGATTAGTTCATTACCATGGAAATTTTTTAAAGATTAAGTTTGGGGGGAAAACACCCTGTTCTAATCACTTTTGGCTCATTAACTACTTCTAAGCTATTAAAGACATTTGGAATGACAAGCTTGAAAATGTTGAGTGGATCAGCCTTCAATCCAGTCTGAAAAAAAATTAACCATAAAGTTAAGAATGAAGAGAATCATAAATAAGCATCAAAAAGCTAAATAAAATTTGATCATAGAAAGTTATACATGGAGTTTATTTGGACATGGAGTCCAAATAAAATTGGACTATTATAATTTTTGCAGTAGTATTTTGGAATTAATTCTAAAGATAAACAGATTCTGTTTTGTTTTTTACAAGATATAACAATTATAAGCAATTTCATGATTTCAAAAACTGGACACTAGAGGGGACTAAAGTTTTTAGGGAGAGCAAAGATTTACAAGTCTGTAATATGTTGCAAAATGTTATAACAACAAAAATGCTGAAGGAGACTTTTGAAAATGGGAATCAGGAAATAACCACAATAGCAACAAATTCAATAATGATGTCTACTTCTGTGGATAAATTATATCCAGAAGTTGTTATTGAAGAAATGACAGGTGTAGGACAAATTTTAGCTGACAAAATAGTGATGGTATTGAAAGTAGATTTACCAGTGATGGGCCAAGAGAACAACTTAAATAAGATCACTGATCTACAAAAGAAACCGGCTGAGGTTTTACAATTTAAAAAAGAAATACAAATGAAAACCCAAAGAGAGTGACCTGGATATTTTTTTTTCTCTTATTGGATTTACAAAAGAGGTTATTAAAGCCTTGAAGAGCTCTGTTCAATGGAACAAAGGCAGAATGAAGACAAATGAAATCCTATGATAATATTTGAATTAAAGTTAAGTTTGTTTCAAGTAAAGGGAAGGAATATAAACAGCCAGTTTGGCGTAGTAGTTAAGGTATTGGCCTAAAAACCAGGAGACCGTGAGCATGAAGGCCGGTTGGATGACTTTGGGCCACTCACTATCTTGCAGCCCAACCCACCTCACAGAGCAGTTGTGGGGAAAGGAGGAGGAGGAAGGAATATTATGTTTGTTACTTATAAAGTAATTAAAGTGGGATAGGTTAAAACAAGGCACACTGTTATTTCAACTAACCCTTTGTGCACTTTCTGCTGATACCAGGAATGAAAACATACTTTATGGATTTGTTTATGAATAAGAGATAGAATATAGGATGAAGAATAAATGTAATCTCAAAGGGGATGAAAAGTA